CTACCAACAAGGCAATGCAACGTAACAACAATTGGAGCAGATGCCGTTGATAAAATGCAAGATACATAAACAGAGCTTCAAAATTAAGCTATTTTATAAGTAAACCCAAAAGAAAAAGTATCATTATAATTTGTATTACTTCAAGGAAATAATTATTTAAATGATTAAATAAAGAACTTACTTGTTACATCTAGGGTTACTGATTTGTTTACATATGTATTTATTTCATTTTCATCATTTCGCGCTCTACAAATGAGATCCTTCTGATCATAGTCAGAGGTAACCACCATATACAGGACACTCGTTGTATCGAAACCGTCACCATCCTCCGTTACGTTATGAGAGATTCCTTCAGTAATTACTTCACCATTTATTACCCATGATACATTTGCGGACGGCCTTATGTCATAGACGGAGCAGGAGATAGTCAGGGTTTCTCCATCACGTATTGTGATTGGGTTTTCTGTATTATCTATCACAACACTGGTTACTGGTTCAGCTTGAGCATACCCTGTATAATTGAAAGATTGTTGAGAGCGAGGAAACGTTAACAAAACCGGCAAAGTTTGTCAACAGCATACATATTAAAATACTCACAAAATAATAACTAGCTGAACACTATAAAAGACATAGGTCGTGTTTTAAACTATCACTATCTATTTTTTCTTGGATGCTAATCAAATTATTAGTCAATATTTGACATTACTAGTATTACATGGGGGTGATTTATATAGTTCAAGTTACAATTTTTTGTTACAATCAGAATATGGCAATTTCTTAGAAACGTACCTCTCACTAAGTGTCTGAATATATATTTATTCATTATATCCTGTTATATGTTGTACACGAGTGGTTTATTAATGTATATCCAAGACTGTAGTTACGATTTATAGCCCAAATTTAGGCGAATTTAATACTACACATATATATGTTGGATAGTAAAATCTGCTATGTGTCCCAGACGTCGCAACTAATGGGACATTAGACATCCCAGCCATTGAACGAGTATATGAATGATGAAATGACAGGTGCTGTAAACCAAACCAAATAGCGATTGACACAATAGATTGTATGACGTCTTTGCTGACACTCTAGATTCAACGAAGTGCCTGTCCAAGACGGTGAGCGGATCAACATACTGCTAAAGGCATTTAATATTGTATACTGTTAATTGTTATGGAAAACCTATTTTTTTTGTTTTTGGTCAAATTAAAACTCCACACATTCTAATTGTTGTTATTTGCAAAAAGTTACGATAATTACATAAACTGTCAATCAAATAAAATCCGAAATTCAGCCAAATCAGACATTACAACAATATAATTGGGGTTGTTACCAATCTGCGTTGAATTGTTATCTGAGATATTTTACAAATATACATATGTGCAGTGTATCGAATGTTCTCTCTCCTTCTTTTCTCAGCGGTACTTTAGCACTGGACTATTGCAGGGCGGCGACATTGTCGAATACGAGTAACCATACCAAGCATAGTTATCTATCTACTGAGTGTCATAGATTGCGCCACCTAGTGTCGAAATTAGATTTCTCACCAAGGACGGTGTCGTGACATTATTAAAGTAATCAACCTTCACATCTTCAAAGTAGTTTTTGAATTAAAACGCACACACTATCTAGGAAAAATGTCATTTCATCACTCGTGGCATTACTATGTTGAACAAAATCGCGCATGCATGAAACCCACTTGACCTCGGTGCATTTTAAAAATACAATGGCTCCAATGGCATATTGCATGTTTTGTGCCATTCTTACAATATTATATCGTTGCGCCACACAGTGTCGAAAGTATTAGTAGTTTGACCATCAAGGACGGTGTCGTGACATAATTGAAGCAGTAAACCTTTACACCGTCAAAGTAGTTGATCCAAACACAATCCAGGAAATGTTTATCATATCACAGTTGTATCTTTTACATTTAATGGTTTATTATTCAAAGTCTGTCTAGCTAAACATATACGTACTACATTTCTAAAAAAAACAATCAACGGTATTAGACGGTGATACGGTCGACAATTTGATATTGATGCAAACAATACATAAATATGGGTTTTGTTGAGTGAACATAGTCTGCGAAGTATCTTATGAATTATAATCAAACACTAAACTAATGTTGTAAACCTTTGTGATAGGGACACGTGTGTACAACCTGTGGTAGGATTGCTGCAGTTTAGCAGCTCTTATTGACCGCCTAGGCTATTCTGTCATTACGTTGCGGCCAAGCGAGCTGCATAAACTGCAGCAAGTGGCAGGAATATCTACATACCTTCATACGATGCAAAGCCAAGTACAATGAATAAAAAGAACATAAGTGCCATCCGTAATTACCTTAAACTGTTTTTTAACCACACTCAAAGAATTATCAGACGTAACTGTTGACAACTACGCTGCAGCGCGATTTATAATCATGCTCAGCGTGATTCATAATCATGCTGGGTATGCAAATGTCACCTTGGCTTGTACTTCCGGTACACACTGCGTACTGACTCCGACCTTATTTCTGTCAGTCGACATATATAATGCCTAGTTCCAACGTTTTGAATTACTCGATTAATATGCCTTTGAACATATTTTGGGAGTTGGGACATCGTCAAAACAATTTAGTGTCGAACAGACATGTTTTGTGAGCCCGGTTAAGTGTGTCACGAATCTAGGTTATTGTGCTCTGTTAACTGTCAACTACTTGGATATTTATGAGTACACGATGACGTCAACCAGTAACCAGATTGTCGACAACTATGCTGCAGCCCAATTTATAAACATGTTCACGTGATTCCTAATCATGCTGGATAATTTCTCCTTGGCTTGTACTTCCGGTAGACAATGTCAGCACTTCGTACAGACTCCGACATAAATATTATTTCTGTCAGTCAACATGCGATGTTTATTTTAAACCTATTAAAATATTCATATGATATGCTTTTGGACATATTTTGGGAGTTATTGTTAGAAATACGTGTGACGAATAGACGTGTTTTGTACACCTGGTTGGATGTTTCACGAATCTAGGTCACTATGCTCCATAATCTGGCAACTTTCTCTGGGGATCGTGCAGTGCTATGCGAACAGCGAGCTTTCAGAGTCAAGTTATTTTGTCAATCACTTGGTAATCCTCAAATGACGACAGTTTGGAAGGTAGGGAATTCATGATTGGGAGTGATGACAAAAAATTCCAAATCATTGCCAACAATTTAGTTGATTTTTTTAGAGATCGCTATCATGTGCATCCGGTGTCATGAAAACATGTTCAGAAGCTTCCGTACACTATCAAACACACCTCTATCAAATTAACATGCTAAGTTTTACGCAGATAAATTAATACCAAAATCTACATTACAAATGTTCGCATTATATTATATACGAGTATATTATATTCTCTCGTTAACTGTGCACAGACTTCAAAATAACGAGTGGCTAAGCCTTCCATCGACCATCCAGCATGAACTTTTACTATGTTATATTTTGGGTGTATTTGAAGACAAGAATTTTATTTTTCTATCACTATTGAAGAATTTCACATTTTGCTCTGTTTGGGAGTAACTGTTTTATGTGAAATTTTTGCCTGCTACATATCCATGAACATATCATCTTGCCCGTACGTGTATACAATTTTGTGTTCTTTAGTGTAAAGTCAGTTGATGAGCGAGATGGATGGGGGATGTGCTCCGAATTATCAGCTGCTGACAACTATGCTGCAGCGCTAGTCCTAATCTAGACTGGCAAAGTCGGTCAGGTTAGTTTTCGCGATCACGTTAAAAAGGAATAAAAGAACAATTAATTATTTCTTTTTGTAAAACAAAAAAGATGTCCTGACTTTGCCAGTCCAGTCATAATATAACTCAGCGCGATTCATTATCAAGCTGGAATTCCCCCATGATATGCAAATGTACCCTTGGTTTATACTTCAGCACTGAGTACAGACTCCGACTTTTTTTGTCATTCGACATGGTATGCTTTTTTCAACCTTTTAAGGTAGAGATGCAATTTACCTGACAGGTATTTTAATTAGTTAATTAGGAAACCAAGATGACCTCCCTTGTCCACAAAACTATATATTTTCGGAAAGCTTATTGTATGAATTTAAAAATTTTGTTAGTAATTTTTTATGGACACTGTAGTTTGAAATATGCACAAAAATGTGCTTTTTTTGTCAAAAGTGATTTTAAAAAAATTAGCTCCTAAACAATGCTTCTGTTTCCTGTCAAAATTGGTTTGTGGGTACATCTGTTTACTATGGAGAAAGCGCCGTCTTGAAAACTGTCTACAGTTGTCAATTTTGCAGGGCAGCAGCCCAAATTTCACTACTTCAAGTTTATGCATAAATTAACACCCAGGCTAGTTGTCTGTACGATTGTCGTAACATTGTTCAACCAAAAACAATGCTCTGACGGCGTTTTGAAGATAAACACATTGTCAGTCATTTGTGAAAATTTCAAAACAAAAGGTCAAAGCGTCTAGGAGCTATTTTTTTACCTTACCCGTACCATCAAAGATGGAAGGGAAAGGTATATTAAGGGAAAAATTTTGTCCGGCGTTGTCGTCGTCGTCGTCGTTGTTGTTGTTGTTGTTGTTGTCGTCGTTAATAATTGTTATTGTGTGCATAATAACATTACTAATTCTATTCCAAACTTTATCAAACTTGGTCACCTTATTCATCAGTATAAAGTCTTCCCTGAGTTTGAACAACAGATGTCCTGTATAAAAATATCATGCAAAAATTGAGAAAATCTGATAAAATATTTTGACTGTTTCTACTTGACTGATCACTGGTGATACACATCAAAGGTCACTGATCTCAGTGGAAATATGCAT